GGGCAGGCCGTGCTGCACCACCGTGTGGTTGACCAGGCCGGGTTGCAGGCCGCCGTGCTCCAGCTGCTGCATGCGCTCGTGCTCCAGCGCGCCGTCGTCGCCGTAGGCCGGCAGTGCCAGGCCGCTGCTGGCCACCAGCACGCCCTTCTGGCCGCCGGGCACCGGGCACGGCTGGGGAATGCAGCTGCCGCGCACCCCCAGGAAATGCCCATAGACCTCCGGCTGCGGGGACATGTTGGCCGGGGAAGCCCTCGAGCCGTTGATGTAGGCGACCAAGGATGTGGGCGAGGTGCGAATGATGGTATTGAAGTCTATCCCGATGCCATCGGACAGTGGGGACAAGGACAGTGCTCTCTTCTTGGAGCGGGCCGAATGGGACCTGGTGGATGAGTGCCGGGGACTAGGGTAAGGAGAGTGGCTATTTTCCATGCCAAAAAGGTAGGATGGCAATGGGTTAGAGACACTACTGCTGGACATGGATGTCCCGGGAGGCAGGCTAAGGAGGTCCCCTAGGTCAATGCCATTCTGAGAGCCGTGGCTGGAGGAGAGTGAAGGGAGAGCCCTGTGGCTGTGAGACCACTCTTGTTTCACGCTCAAGGCCGACTGACCTTCCGTCAGACTCAAAGTCGTGGACGCCAAAGACTCACGTGAAATAAGGGACCTGGACCAGCAGTCAGAAGGGGAGAGAAAAAAAAAAAAAAAAGATAAACATTTTGGCAGGATATGGATTACTTAAGAGCTAAAAGAACATTGCATTGACAATCCCTTAAGTATTTCCCCTAATTACATTCTCCACTAAACACATTCTTGGGCCAAGATAAAATCCAGGCCTTTTAGTTCCAGGTAAATAACACTTTACCAAGAACAATAATAAAAGCTAATGCTCACTGAAATAATAAAACAAAAGATCTATTGTTATAAATAATCTTAATACTTTAATGGTAATAAATAGTCTTTGTCTTATTTTTAAATATTGTTTTCAAGGTAGGAGGAAAAATTAGAGACCTGGAAAAAATTATCGATGCCTGTCACAACAAACCCAATAAGCAAGTATTGGTTAAGCACCTACTGTGTGCAGCATGCTATGATAGGCTTTGCAGAGAATATAAATCTAAACAGAGTCTCAGGCTTCAAATAAAATATATTTGGGGAGGTAACATAAACCCATGCTTGATTCAAAAAAAATAAATAAATCCTCAGTCAGTCTAAGGACTTAATAATAATTTAATAGTTAATATTTTAAATTATTAATAATAATTTCACAATTTAGTTTTACTGATATTAAGGAATTATTTACATTTTTTAAAAAGATAGCAATTCACGCTGTCAATACTCAGTTACAACATTAAATCATCCTCGGAAATAAAAAATATATAAAATACGGGCTGGCCCGGTAGCGCACTGCTACAGTGCGCCACTTGGGAAGCGTGGCGGCGCTCCCGCCGAGGGTTCGGATCCCACGTACAGACCGGCCACTCACTGGCTGAGCGAGGAGCGGGGGCAACGCCGAGGGTTGCGATCCGTTGCCGGTCCCAAAAAAAGAGACAAAAAGACAAAAAGACAAAAAAAAATATATATATATATATATAAAATACTGCTCTAATATGTAAAGGAGCAACAAACTGAAATCAAGTCATATTTGGAATTATGCAGCGGGGCTGTGCAGGGGTTAATCATGCTTGCTAGTCTTGGATTTTCTACAAGCTCTTATCCTTAAATCAAAGGAACTTTGGGCCAATAGCATATCATTCCCTTTCAATAGTTCACTTTTGCAACAATTTTTCTCCTGTTAGTACCATTTACATGCCTTATGTGTCACAATATACTGTCTGCATATTAAAACATTCATAATGTAGCTCTGGCCACTTTACATTTCATTTTACTTTATTATAACATTGTTGCCTTAAAAATAATTGAAGAGAAAAGTTATGTCCCTTGAATGGAAAATCTGTGACAAAGACACTAGACATAACATACTGTATTCCCTGACTCAGACATGGTGTATATCAGTAAAACCCGGCTTATTTATATGTACCTTCATTGGCTTTCTACAGAGCTAATATTTTCTGACAAAAAATTAATCACAACAAAGTGTTATATAAAATGTGCATCTTCCCAAAATGAACACTTTTACTATTTCCAGCTGTTACACAATCAACCTGTTGCAAAGGAACTGAGGGAAAAGAGAAGCATTTTCATCCCACCTGTTCCTCTTACTCCATTTCACAGAATGGAAGCCAGGAACACCATCTCCTAGAAGCATGGAGCTATTAGCAAGAAAACAGCTCAGCTCTGAAATGCACAGTATAAGGTGATAACACCATGATCGACGTGATGTTACCATCGAGTGAAGTAATGTTTACCAATGACAAACACAGCAGGAATTTACGTCCACTTGCCCTTGACATAGATTTTTTTTTTTTTTGGTCCACTTCCTTACATTCGGGCTGAAGTCTTTTTTGCAACCCCCAAAGTGGTTTCTGAACCATCTGTTTTTTAATTCCCCGTGGACACTTTTTAATTATTTTCCCAGCACACTTGCAGCATGTGGCTCTTTCTGCAGAGCTCAGCCAAAGGCTCCTGGTGATTGGATGTCAAGGGCCTTTTGGTCCATTCCCCAGTGAGATTTCAGGAATTTCTTTCAGACCCAAGCTAAATCAGTAGTCATGTCATATGTGAGGCAGAGACAACTGACCTTATTTAATACCCTGAGGTTGAGAAGGTTTCCAGGACATAAAGAATCAGAGCTTTACCAGACCTACATGGCTGAGAGGATGCTCATTCTCAGGTTCTGCATTTGCCTGTCACTGTCATACTGGATGGAGCATTTCAGATTTTTAAGCAGTGGCTAACAGAAAGTATTTTATCCACCTGTACACAGTTTGCTTATGAAGTTCTATTATTCGGTTTGAGGGAAGCCTATAGTGAGGCACGTTCATTTGCCCCATTGTTGAGAGATGATTCTTTTTCTCAAATTACACCTAATGGGGCCGGCCCGGTGGCGCACTGGATAGTGCGCCGCTTGGGAAGCGTGGCAGCGCTCCCCTGGATGGAGCATTTCAGATTTTTAAGCAGTGGCTAACAGAAAGTATTTTATCCACCTGTACACAGTTTGCTTATGAAGTTCTATTATTCGGTTTGAGGGAAGCCTATAGTGAGGCACTTCATTTGCCCCATTGTTGAGAGATGATTCTTTTTCTCAAATTACACCTAATGATGGCTGATTTAAATCTGAGCATAACCCCATGCAGCCACATTCCTTAACTCCTTGGACATCTCAGTTTTCTAAGACAGTTATCATATATTTTAAGAAGGCAAATTCTATATTCTATTCATTAAAGCAATAATATGAACACAACTCTCTTTATCTCAAACACCTAATAGGCACAAAACTTCCAACAAATGGCCTTTGCCTAGCAGCCAGTCTCCCTCTTATGCAATTACCCAGCTCTTTGAACCTTTCAAAGTTCTATTCCATGAAATCTCTCCCCAATATATTAGCTCTAAGTAACAGTCCTCTTTCCAAAGAAGTTATATACCATCTACATCACATCTTAAATGTAGCTAACTTGAGGCATCTGTGGGTGCTAACTTCTTCAATAAAATTCAAAGCCTTTCAACAGAAGGGATCACTTTTATCTCCCCATTACCTACCGGAGTGTTAGATACATAATAAGTACTCAAAAAATTTTTGATTAAAAAAGTGAATAAATAATCAATATAATGATAGCTAACCATTATTTATAGCTTACAAAGCATTTTCCCTATATTTGATCTCATTTGATACAGCCTGTGAGGTAAGTAAACTGGATTTTTACAAATAATTTGTATTTTACAAGAAATAAAGCTGAGGTTCTGTGAAATTCCTCCTGGTGACACCAAAAAAAAAAGAAAAGGACCAAAGTCCTTACAGAAGTAGAAATAAAGCAGTGTTTGATGGGCAGTGACCTAGTTGGTTGGATCACATACATTCTCAATTGTTCTCCCCACCCTGTACCCCACATGTGGTCCACTGTGCTCTGATTGATTGAAAGACCCGGCACAGTAGCCTTAAAGTCACACAAGCTATGAGTGAAACCCAAATTTTCTGTTCCCTTTGCAACAATATATTGAATGAGTGTGAAGGGTTCTCGCCTATAACCCATGCTGCTACACACACTAGGCCTACAGAAAAGAAAGTGACAAAGAGCTATATCACCATACTGAGAGCAATCTCTATTCCCATATGTTCATCTGATTCTAAGGATATTATTTCTGGTGACTGGTTAATTTGGAGCTATATCTAAAAGGAAAGGAGATATATATCTCAAACAAAATAAAACCAATATTAAAAAAAAACTCAGAAACCATCAGCAAAAAAGATTAAGGTGGCTGGTAAAGCAAGAACTCAGTGACTCTCATGCGGCCATAGAGGCATGATAACCAAGTTGAATTGCTCGGTTCAAAGCCTGCTCAAAAGATGGTCTTACAGATCAGATGGAATTCCTCAAACTGATGTTCAAGGGAATATATATTTCATATGCACATATCTCATAGAAAAAAAAGATCAGTCTAGTCTATCTGGAAGTTCTTGTTTATGTGCCTCAGCAAATCCCCAAAAAGAATCAGCACTGCATGTGAGGACAGAATGGCTCTATAAAATTTTAGAACTTACAGAGAGCCCAGAGCATATCATATCCACCCTCAGTCCCTTGGCCTCCTCTGAGCTTTGTGGACATACTTCAAACCAAAAGGAAATACCTCCAAGAATGTCTGGTTTAGGAGATAAAAAGCTAAATGTGGTGCCTTTTGGGATCTGGAATGACATTATTAGGTGATGGCTGAACTTTGCAACTGACAAGCTAAGGGGCACTGGGCTAAGCCTTTAGACTTTTCATGTCTTGGGTTTATCATGTCTTAGAAACAGGGATAATACTTGCAGATAGTTTATGAATGTTCAATCAAAAAATGCAGAATCAGGGCCGACCCCGTGGCTCACTCGGGAGAGTGTGGTGCTGGGAGCACCAAGGCCGCAGGTTCAGATCCTATATAGGGATGGCCAGTGCGCTCACTGGCTGAGCGGAGTGTGGACGACACCAACCCAAGGGTTACAATCCCTTACCGGTCACACACACACACAAAAAAAGTGCAGAATCACCATGCATATGAAAACTAAATAAATAAAAATCTAAATATAAACAAAACTCATGCAAGTAACGTCTGATCTCTTCTACTGCCTGACTTTTGCTACATTGGTATAAAGCCACTGTCTGAGGTTATCATATCAGCACCTCAGCCTAGACATTTTAGGGGAAATAGACACAACAGCCTCTGAATTACACAGTTTTGGCAATGCCTAAATCAAGACTGTCTCCTTGCTCTTCAAGATGGTAAGGTATAGTTTGCATTTGTCATCAAGGGGGGTAGTCAGAAATGATTTGGAAATTAATCAAGGCAAATATACAGCATTAGGGCATGATTCTCATCACTGGATTAAACAGAACCCAACAAAGCTAAGAATGAAGTGCTTTCACTAAGATAAACACCCCAAAAGAAAAATAACCAAGGAAGGTAAGAAGAAAAACTACAAACAGCCAATAAATCTATGAAAACTATCCAACATTATCAATAATTAAGAAATGCAATTTAAGGTAAAATAACATTTTGTACATCAAACTTGCAAAAGTTATTAAAATAATAATACCTAATATTTGATAAGTTCTGAGAAAACAGACACTCTCTTAGATTGTTTATAAATGGGTAGGATTTTTCTGCAGTGCAATTTAAGTATACTTATAAAAATCCTCAAAACTGCACACTTTCTTTAACCCAGCAAATCTTACTTTTAAGAATTTATTCTAAGAACGAGAGCTGTGTAACAAAAGATTTATAGGGTTGATCCAATAAAGCATTATTTATAATATCAAAATAAAGGGAAACAAATAAGTGCCTAGTAATAAAAGATTGCTTAAAAAATGACGATTTTATTTATATATGAGGGGTCTCCAAAAAGTTCATGGAAAATGCATCTTATAAAAAAACTATGAATGGATTTCAAAATTGATTTGCACCAAAATAAACTCATTCTAATTTGTAAAAACATGTCTGAACAGCATCTAGTTTGAGGCACTAAGAAGGGTATGACATCAGTTTGAAAAGATCTCCTATCACAGTAGCATCCATGTTCCAATGAATTTATGGTGAAGCTTGGGTGGAAGAATGGTGAAATCACTGACGCATTACAGAAGGTTTATGCTCCTATCACAGCAACGTGGATGCTACTGAAATTGAAGCAAGAACACAACAAATTTATGGTGAAGCTTGGGTGGAAGAATGGTGAAATCACTGACGCATTACAGAAGGTTTATAGTGACAATGCCCCAAAGAAATCAGCAGTTTACAAATGGATAAGTCATTTTAAGAAAGGACGAGACAATGTTGAAGATGAAGCCCACAGCAGCAGACCACTCACATCAATTTGCAAGAAAAAATTAATCTTGTTCATGCCCTAATTGAAAAGGAACAGTGATTAACGGCACAAACAATAGCCAACACCATAGACATCTCAACTGGTTCAGCTTACACAATTCCGACTAAAAAATTACAGTTGAGCAAACTTTCCACTCAACGGGTGCCAAAACCATTGCAAACAGATTAGCTACAGACAACAGCCGAGCTTTCAATGGGAATTTTAAACAAGTGGGATCAAGATCCTGAGGTATTTCTTCAAAGAATTGTAACAGAAGATGAAACATGGCTTTACCAGTACAATCCCAAAGACAAAGCAAAATCAAAGCAATGGCTACCAAGATAAGACCTCAGTTTGAAAAGAGCCAGGAGGTGCAAATGGTCCAGTCAAAGAAAAAGCAGACCAGACAAGAGCAAAAGTCATGGCAACAGTTTTTGGGGATGCTCAAGGCATTTTGCTTGTTGATTTCTAGAGGGCCAAAGAACGATAACATCTGCTTATTATTATGAAAGTATTTTGAGAAAGCCAAAGCTTTAGCAGAAAAATGCCCAGGGAACCTTCACTAGAGAGTTCTTCTCCACCACAACAAGGTTCCTGCTCATTCCTCTCAGCAGACAAGGGCAATTTTGCAAGAGTTTCGAAGAGAAATCATTAGGCATTCACCTTACAGTCCTGATTTGGCTCCTTTTAACCTCCTTTTTGTCCCCTAATCTTAAAAAAATCTGTTAAGGGCACTCACTTTTCTTCAGTTAATAATGTAAAAAAAAGACTGCATTGACATGGTTAAATTCCCAGGATCCTCAGTTCTTTAGGGATGGACTAAATGTCTGGTATCATCACTTACAAAAGTATCTTGAACTTGATGGAGCTTATGTTGAGAAGAAAAGTTTATATTTTTTACTTCTATCTTTTCCTTCCATTTTTCAACCGACTTTTTCAAGACCCCTTGTACTTTTTCTATAAAATGAAAGCTTAGGCAGAAAGAAGCCATTTGATGCTGAAGAAGACTTTATTACAAAAGAAAGATTATAATAAATTAAAAGAAAAAAGCAATTATAAAATTATGTAGATAATTAGATCAATTTGGTAGAAAGGAAAGTCTATGCTTACAATGTATGGATTTGCATAACTGGAAAGATGTATATCAAAATTCCACCCATGGTTGTCTCTGGATGACAAAATTTAGGATAATGGAGCTTATGTTGAGAAGTAAAGTTTATATTTTTTACTTCTATCTTTTCCTTCCATTTATCAACAGACTTTTTCAAGACCCCTTGTACTTTTTCTATAAAATGAAATCTTAGGCAGAAAGAAACCATTTGATGCTGAAGAAGACTTTATTACAAAAGAAAGATTATAATAAATTAAAAGAAAAAAGCAGTTATAAAATTACGTAGATAATTAGATCAATTTGGTGGAAAGGAAAGTCTATGCTTACAATGTATGGGTTTGCAAAACTGGAAAGATGTATATCAAAATTCCACCCATGGTTGTCTCTGGATGACAAAATTTAGGATGACTATCATTTACTGCCTGGTACTTTTCCATATTTTCCATGTTTTCTACAATGAATAAGAACTATACAGATAATCGGGAAAAAACAACAAATGTTACAGCTTTTCATGGGGCAGCCATCTTTCAGACGGAACAGTCCATGCCTCCTCTCCTGCCCCCATCCCCCTAGCATGCCGCCAGTGGATAAAATCTGAGCTGATTCCCTCTCCATCTTCTCTTTATCTCTAGGCAGTAAAATGCCTTCAAGTGGAACTGGCATCTTTCAGACGGAACAGTCCATGCCTCCTCTCCTGCCCCCATCCCCCTAGCATGCCGCCAGTGGATAAAATCTAAGCTGATTCCCTCTCCATCTTCTCTTTATCTCTAGGCAGTAAAATGCCTTCAAGTGGAACTGCTGCCTTTTATCCTTTCTCTCCTCTGATGGAACAAACAAACCAATTTAAGGATCACAAATAAATGTGACCTTTCCAAATTGCTTAAAGTACGTTCCATAGTTCACCAAGCCTCTTCCCAACTCCAGTTTCTTTGCTCATCCTGCAAAAAGATTTTCCCATAGAAGAGACTCACAGAATACATAGTCAAAAACACTTGTCAGTGCATCATTGAGGTGTTGTCTTTTAAGGATATAAAATTATGCTAAGAATCAAATATGTCAAAAAACACTGAGATAATGACCCCTCTCTGCCTGGCCCATGAAAGGGACTGTGTAAGTAAGGTACATGGCTTGAGCAGTCTGTGTGCTACCTGCCTAGTTTCCCCATTAATTATGACTCTCTGCCTTCTAGGCATGGGCTGGACCTGCCACAGACAGGAAGCTGAAGGCTTCCCAGTGACACCCACCCCATGAGCACAGTTAATTTTACATGCAGCACTCAGTAAGTCTGAGGAGTCCCTCAAGGCATAATCATCAATGGGAAAAATGACAGCAGCTTCCCATCACAAAAAGTCTCAGGTGAAAAACAATCTTCCACCTCATGAAAAAATTGGCATAAATAAATGATCCCAGAACTGTGATTTCAGAGTCTCAAACAGCACCTAAGAGGACAGTGCAGAGACGCAAGAGGGGAAAGGAGGGGTAGGAGGAAAAGAAGGAGACAGGAAAGGAAGAAGAAACAGGATCCCAGAACTGCAAGGCACTGTAGCAGGTGACAGCCCCCAAAGAAGAGGAAGCAGAGGTCAAGAGAGTGAAACGCAGTTAGAGCAGAACCAGGACTAAGAGGCAAAAACATTGGATTGTGTTTTTCCAAGATAACTTCTAGAGGATAAAATAGAAATAGACCTTAAACATTGCATAGTGTTTTGGTTTTATACCTTCTCGAATATCAACCTTCAGAGAGATAAAAATTTGTCTGAGGAGGTAAGTCCCCTTTTCTACTCAATCTTCTCCCTTGAGATTGCTTAAAGTGGTATTTATTGTGCCTACTTATTCCAGTTCCTGATCAGACATTGTGTTGAAATCTTATGTAAGAATACATCAAAGTATTTCCTCCCAGACACATCATAAAGTCTTGAAATGAAAGATTTCTATCTTTATTCTCCATACTATCTCCCTAAACTTCAACTACTGTTTTATGCAGAAAGTAGGTACTTAATAAATATCTGGATAGATGTGTGGAGGAAAAATAGACAAAACAGATTGTTGTAAAGCAGCCTGGAAACTCTGCAATATATACAACTGAAAACCTAGCAGGTAAAATAGGTGTGCATGGAACATCTCAATTTGCTAGGCCATGATATGACTGCTTCACCAAGAATTGACAAATTTACAAACTGGGCTTCAGTCACTGAGGCTCAAAAATCTCAAATTGGGCATTCATTTCACTCACACCACAAGACAGCAAGTATTAAACCATTTTCCTCCCAGTTAAGATGATATCATGGTACATATTTAGTTTTTAGACACATTCCCCTACAAAGCTCAAATTGAAAGAGTAGCTTGAGAGTGTGTGCATGTGTGTGTGTGTATGTGAATGGTCAGGAAGAGACGGGAAAACACTCAGGTGGGGTGTGATTATACCATAAAGAAGGCGGAAAAAAAATGAACTTGAGACCTGGTATCTGAAGGAGGTATATTCAGGTTGGCTGCATTCATTGCCCTCTGTAAGCTAGGACTGATCTGGTTGCATGCTGTAGAGACCTGGCTTGCTGGAGGTGAAATGGGTCCCAGTCGCTGAACCATCATGGGACTGCTGGTGACCACTAGATTGTTGCAGCTGCCTTTTCCAATGGACTTGCACTGAGGCCCAAAGCCAAGAGCCCCTAAAAACAAATGAATCAGGTTAGCTTTCATGTCCCTTATATCAGAAACCAGTAAATATATACATGTGAAACCATCTTTAGAGACAGTCGTTGATTTTTTTTTAATATTGGTAATACTAAAAAGCTTTCTCTAATTCCAATAAAAAAGCTATAATGCTATAATAGAAACCCTTCCATAATCACCAATCATACAAAATGTGCTTGAATTTTACTCCTTCTATGTAGTGGTGTCCAGTTACAATAAGAATCATAACTTCCTTACCTAAAGGGTTAAGGTGATACGTAAACAGGATTACCTGTATGGAACCAAGTTTTTCCTAGAATAGCTGACAGTTTGAATCACCCAGCAAGGAAAGTTGACACTGCTGAAAAAACCTGCTTAACTGGTTTACTTCATTTCAAATCTGGACTTCCAAAAAGCCTCTTTAAAAAGGTATAGTCTGGCTGTGTCTCTCCAATCTTGATTTTTCCTCTTCATCATGTCATTGAACATATACCCAATTAAAAAAAAATCAGGATGAAAGAGACATAAACAAAACACTCATTTGAAAAGCAGCATGGGTAACCAAATTTGACATAGATTTTTCATTTTCATTAGTAACAATCTCCCAATGTAGCAATATTTGGTACATACCCGAAGGGGAAAGAAAAAAAAGGAAACCCACAAGAATCTGTCCTTATGGAAAAGTGAAAAGTGAAGAGGGGAAAGGCAAACACTGCCATGACTCATTTATAAAAAAAATAATAATAATAGCTGAATCATTCTAGACATTCCTTTTACATGGATGTACTTTTTTCAAAGACTTTTTGGCCAACTACCTGGTCAAGTCTTGTTAACTGTACACTCTGTTCCTATTTCCAGCAAACAAAAATAAACATGATCTCAGTGTTTAACAAATTAAGTTCTAAAATTTTCTCACCATTTTTTTTCACTTTTTCATTGATTATTTGGGATCAAAGGAGGTAGAAAGTGTCACTGTAACTCTCCTTAGCTCTACAGGGCATAATTTCTTATTTTGTTTTCCCAAAAATGAAATCAATAAACAAAAGTTCTCTTTATTTGTCATCTTTTGTATTATTCACTTCCAAAAAATCCCCAAGTCAAAGGACAAACAAGATATTGGAGCAACCACCATGTTTCCTTCTATGCAGCCACACCTCAAAAATGCTGGGAGGGTCACAGCATCATTAGCTAGCAGGGACCCTGCTCCAATCCAGCCTGCTGGGAAACTAAAATCCAAATGGTAGTTGACTTCTGCAAGGTCACACAGGGATTTAATGACACAGCAGAAACTGACTCTGCTAGGGTGTATTCTCATGACGCCTGTGTGCTTACGTTTAGGCTCAGGTATGCTTAGTTTTTTCCTTGGATACTTTCCAAGATCATTAGCTACGACAGAAATTTCTCTGATTTTTTTTTCAAATACACAAACCAGAACCTCCCCTCTACCTCTCCCATTGCAGTTTATATCTGACCCATGTTCTTGTGACTTGAAAGATCAGTTGTAGATATTCTGTTTTCACAACTCATAAAGCATTTCACCATCAGGGATTCATCTTGACACCAAGAGTCATGGGTACATTTTTTACGTAATGCATCATAAATTTAGTATCTTTGCAAATCCCAATAAACTACATGCATTTGCTTTTCAAACTCCCCTTTTACCTTGGAAAAAAGCAATGTTCATAACCAAGTCCAGTTTATGAGACACCTGAATTCTCTCCCAGGTTCCATTGCTACCAGCCTTTGCTATGAAAAGCAACATGAGATGTCAATTATTCTGTCAAATTGAATGTCATATATTCATCTAATGAACTCAGTCATTTCATGCCTATTTCCTGGTCAATAAAAAGGTATTAGTATTTATCTACCCCTAAAACAAAGACATATTTGCAGCAGGAACAGCATATCCAAGAAATATTACTTGATGGCAAAGCATATGGATACTTCATCAAATCTAAAATGCCACATTTTGTAAAGCGCACCATTATTTTATGTACCAGTAAGAACATGAACTGATAATTAAACTAGTACACGGTGTTCACATTTTAGAGATGTTGTGATGTGAAAATATCCACACCTTAGAATCAATAAATACCAGTATGATCACTGAGAACTTTATTTTATCCCTTGTCTTGTTCATGGTGTTCTCTCTGCCTGGAGTACCCTTACCCTAACTCATCTACTTAGTGAGCCCCTCTGCATCTTTCAGGTCTCAATTCAAAGGTCACTTCCTCTATGACCTCCCTCCCCCGCTGCCAACTGGGTAGATCTGACCAATCCTTCGTTTCCTTCTCCCCCGGGCTCCCATAGCACATCTGCCTCAGCGTCTGTAACACCTCAAGGAACTAAACTGTTTGCATGCCTCCTCCTCTCACCTCTTATACTTTATTGCTTTTTAAAAGACAAGGCCCTTGTTTGAGGCGTCTCTCTTCCTTAGGACCTAGCCCAGAACCTGGTGTACAGTACACAATAAATATGTGCAGTGACGGTAAGAATGAATGAATGAAAATAAAAGATAGTTATAAATAAATACTAACAAATCATTTCCACTGAAACCCTCCTGGTTGTCATTTTCAAAATAGAGTGCCATTAAAAAAAACCCAAAACTTCAACTCAGTCAATCCTTTGATGTTTCTTCACAGTACTGCTAACTAGGTCTGAATGGAAGATAAAGCCAGTGGGAGTAGCAACTATAAACTCATCTTCCTAGGCCAGAATTTTATACTGCTCAACGCTGCCCACCCATGTAAGCCTCTACCCCGGATTCGTACGTTCACATTATTTTCTTGTTCTGTAATAAAGAAGCATTAATCCTTCCCTATCCAACAAATCCATTGTTTTTTACTCCACTACCTCCCACTTCCAAATTCACTGATCAACTTTAACCTCATCTAACCACAAAGGAGTGACAGCTTCTGACAGGCATCACAGATGGTGTCCTGCAAGCATGAGAATGAATGGTGGATTTCTTCGTAACATGTAATGTTTGTGATGCAGCTATGAGTATGTTCTAGAAAACGGCATCATCTGTCTCACAGGAGGAGGCAAACAACAATGCAACCATCTAACTCTAATTTTTTTTCATAATGCCAGATGTAATGAACACCTCCAGACTACTCAGAATTGGGAAATGCTTTGGAGTGTGGGCTCTGGCGACAGCCTGCCTAAGATCTGCTAGTTGTGTGACCCAGGCAAATTACTTAACATTTGTGTGCCTTATCTCTATATCTCTGTCTTCTTATCTGAAAAAAACAGGAATAAATCAACATCACCTCATAAGGTTGTTGTGTATCTAGAATCAACAACGCACATAAAGAACTCAGCACATTGTCTAGCACATAGTAGGGACCCAACAGATGTTAGCTCTGTTACTGTTATTGTTATTATTACTATACACTTCTTACTTTTTGGCTACATTCTCTTTCTTAAAGAAAGAAGAAAACAGTTCTTCATAATTCCTTGTGCAAAACAAGATAGTAAATGATGCTGTTTAATTCTCTACCCATTTCCAATGTTCCTTCTATTTTGAGGCTAGAGCCCATTTTTTTAAAACCAGGTGTCATCACAGATAGAAGAAAAATTTTCAGCTGGCCAGGTTTGAACGTTCCTTGGCTTGTTCTTCCCTGAAAACGAACTGTACAAGCCTTCTGACTACCAGATGTGCCAACTACTTGTGCACTGGTTTTCATTTTGAAATACCGCTTATTTTTAGAGACTACACGATGTGTTTTAAAAATGTGTTTACTGCTCAAATAAGGATCCGAGTGGATGGCATTCTGAGTACCACATGCATTCTAGCCAAAAATCACTGTGTGCTGGTGGGGACCACAAATGTTTAGCATTTTCAAGTTTCTGAACTGAGAGGTCATCTTAGCAGGGGCATGCTTTTAATTAATGACTTCATTAGTTACAAGGGTTCTCTTGAAGTAGTTGGTTATGCCACAATCATAACTGCTGAAGTTGCATCGTTTGGAACCACTCATATCTATGAATGACATAGATACAGGGGCAACAAAAGTGAAATACATATGGAAGGAGAGGAGAGAAGTAACCACAGTTTTTTTGGTCATCATTGTTCATTCATCTGACACTTATCAGATGCCATCCACGAGCCAGGAAGTCCACTGGAGACAATGGTCAGCAAGATGAATACGGCCCCCATGGAGCGGACTCTGGCCCTGAAGACACACTTCAAGCCAACCATTCATTATAAAAGAGGTGATCCCTGCTCCTAGGTTGGATCATATGAAATGCCTTTTTTAATAGGCCAAAAATGATCATATATGAGCAATTTCTGTATGGCTCAACCTAACACATACACAGGATTTTATGGAAACAGAAATATACGTATCAGGGCTTGAGCGCTGCCTCCTGTCCTCACTGGCTGTGTGATATTGGGCAAGGTCCTTAAGGTCATTGTGCCTCAGCATCCTGTTCTAAAATGAGGACAATAATAGTACCTAATTCTTACGGTTGTTCTGAGGATTAAAAGGTTTAGTATATATTAATATTTGCCTCAACACCTCTAGGAATCAGGTTTTCCTCCTAATCTTTTACTTTAAAACGTTTTAAAACCTACAGAAAAGTTGCAAGAATATTGTATAATGAGCTCCAACTTCATGTAATGGTTTATCTATCCATCCTTCTCTCTATAATATATAAGCTTACTACTTTTATTATTAGTATTGATTTTTTGAACCATTTAAGAATAAGTCACAGATTTCATGTCCTTCATCATTAAATACATACCCATAATACAATCATCAAATTCATGACATTTAACAATGTTACAGTACTAGTGTGTAATAAGCCATCTATATTAAATGTTACCAAAAACACCCTTTAGCGCAATCATTTTCCAATCCAGGATCATGAGTTGCAAAGAAAGGTTTTGAGACACATAGTCAGGTGGGTCTTCAAGAATGGGTTAGTAAATCATTGAACACTAGGGCACTGAAGGCAGATGGAAAAGTGAAAAAGCCAGAGGAAGGAAAGA